TGTTTAGACTCTTTGGCTCTGGAACTAAACTGTATGTAACAGGTAAGAACAACATTTATTTTCTTCTGCTGTTTTATTGTCGAAGCTGAAAATGTGTTTAAAGTCAGTTTGTGCTGTTTCAGGTTTTACAAGTTAGTTTTTACATCATTAGTGGAGGATTCATCTGCAGCCACTGTTACATAAGAAAAGCTCAATAATGAGTGAAAACATGTTGAAATCTCACTGAACAACTAAAGTTATTCTTTATTTCTGCAAATATTAGTGATGTTGGAAATATTTAATATTTGATCATCTCAGACATTTTGTGTCGTCTTTTGGTTTCTGAATAGAAGGAAAAAAACTGATGTTAAGCAAGATTTAATATTTTTTGATAAATGTATTTAGAATATATTTCGAATTGAATCATGTTGAAAAACGCACGTGACAAATGTTTAAAGTAGTGAACTCTACATCTTGCCAATTGAAGTCTTTCTGTGCGATTAAAAAAAAAAAATCTTACTTTGAATATAATCTAAATAAACATTGACAATGAATAGAATTAACCCTTTTCTTTTTCTTTTCTTTTTTTTTTTTTTTTAAATAACTGAAACGTTGTTAAACAATTAGAGAAAAATCTTTTAGGTAAAGTACACATTTATTTTATTGCTATAGTGCCCGTTAAAATTGGGGGAACAATGTGCTTTAGAAATCATTAAAATATACACACAATAGAAAGTGACAACAGAAAAAATTGACAATAAATTATGAGTAAAAACAACAAAACCTAAAGAGAAGAAATAACAAAACTTTATCTCTTATATATTTGTATCTTATTATGTTTGAAATTTATTTAAATTATATTTGATGAATGTGATCTATCAGACAATGCACATATATTGTGTACATTATGTCAACACAGTAGTTGATGTTCTGTGTTTTTATGGTTTGACAGAAGTATACGGTGATGAATATTTAATGGGTTATATTTTCTGTAGTCATTGAAAAGAAAAATGTATTTTCTGTGAACAAAAATATGTCTGTTAGAAAAATATGCATATAAATCTAAATATGAAGGTAAATTTTGTATGATTGTGTCAAATTATATTTTGTGAAAAGTATTAACTATAGAATATTGCACAAATAAAGTGATCATTTAACTTTATTGTTGCTGCTGCTGTCCACCTCCAGATGAGCAGGTAGTGAAGCCCGTGGTGAGCGTGTACCCAGCAGCATCCAGAGCCCACCTGGAGGGGAAGAGCTCCCTGCTGTGTCTGGCCTCAGCCATGTTTCCTCCTCTGGTCCGCTTCTCCTGGAAAAGACAGAAGGAGGACG